TCTTGTGTCAACTAGGGTGAATTTCCGTGCGTTTAGGCGATTCTGCCATACATATTATAGAAATCAAACATAGCTCACGTAGGACCCGTAATATTTGTGGCCGTGGTGCTTCCCTGTTTAAAAGGGTGTATGCCCATTTTACTTCATTTTGTCTCCCGCTTTGTTAAGGAGGGAAGTGGATTTACTGTATTTCCAACTCCTCCAATTTTCTTCTGATTAATTTCGTTGCGGGTTCCAAGACAGTTTAATTTCTTCCTGGGACTTCCCGAGTGTCATAACTCGGTGTGTTCGTGGGTCACTGCTGTGGATCCTGGTGTACAGGAGTTACAGTGGTGGGCGTGTGGGTGGGATTAGTCCCAATAATCACACTAATATTATAATAGCGAAATTTTGTAAATGTTTATTTTTATGTTTGTAACTTCTTCACGCTCAAACGGCGGGACCAATTTTGATGAAATTTGGTTTGGAGATAGATAACAGCCTGGATTAACACTTCATCATCATTATCATCAATTTAGCCGAAAGACGCTATCCGCCGAGAGGCCTATCTAGTGCTGGACATAGCTCTCCCACGAGGCTCGCAGCAACGATCGGTACTGCTGCCCGCATCCAACGTCTTCCCGCGACCCTCAATAGATCGTCGGACCACCGTAAGAAACCAAAAAGATTACCACCCAGTCAACTTTATATTACGAAATATAAAATTCTCGTGTCACAATGTTCGTTCCCGTACTCCTCCGAAACGGCTTGACCGATTCTCATGAAATTTTGTGTGCACATCGGGTAGGTCTGAGAATCGGCCGACATCTATTTTTCATACCCCTAAATGGTAAGGGTGACCCATCCCTAATTTTTTTTTGGTTTTGCAATACAACGTTTGCCGGGTCAGCTAGTATTACGAAAAATTGTAGTGTTCGCGTCGAAGGAATAAAAAATCTCCCACGGCCCACCTCGGGGGCGCAACTAGCACTATTTAATATCATACGCTTTATCATGCATGTTATTTATTCATAAAAAAACTGGTTATGTAAATAGTTTCATCAAATCGTGAAAGGTTTTAGTACGAAATGGTTTACAGAATTGTCTAATCTCACTTATGTGTTCCCTACATGTCTAACCGAATTAGAAATAAGGATGTGTAAGTATTACATTACATATTTAATATATTATTAAAACCTATTTTGCTACCGGCAAGTTAAAGTAATAAAAAGTTTAAACTCGATCAGTCTAGCAAATGATAGTATCTATCGTCCTTAAAAAAAACAGTCGTATTTTTTATGTTTGTAATGATAGATGCTAACTCTAAGAATTGTATAAAAATTGGAACTTATAATGTCAGGTCTCTGTCATCAATACACCGATACTTAGAACTTAATAATGCACTGAAAGATATAAACTGTGACATACTAGGACTCTCAGAAACAAGAAAAATGGGTTGCCACATAGAAGAGTATTCAGACTATGTTTTCTGCTATATAGGACAAACAAAGGGATTGTATGGAGTCGGATTCCTAATAAAAAAGTCATGGAAAAATAATATAACTAACTTTACTGGCATTTCGGAGCGAGTAGCGTTATTACAAATGAAATTTGGCAGTCTAAACATTTCCATAATCCAGGCATACGCACCCACGGAAAGATCAAACGATACAGAAATACAAAAATTCTACAATGATCTGAAAAAAGCTCACTCACTAACCGATGAGAAAATCATAACATGAGGAGACTTCAATGCAAAAATAGGGCACCCAAAAAAGAGGAAAAACTCGTCATTGGACAGTATGGGCTAGGCCAAAGAAACGAAAGAGGCGAACGACTGCTAGAATTTGCATTTGAATATAAACTAGCAATAATCAACACTTATTTCAAAATAAGACCAAGCAGAAGATGGACTTGGAAGTCACCAGACGAAAGTGTTAAAAATGAAATCGATTACATCATGACAAATGTCCCAAAAATAGTTCAAAATTATGAAGTTCTCAATAACGTAAAGTTCCGAACAGACCATAGACTACTCAGAGCAACAGTCCTATTGAGTCAATTGAAAAAAAGTAGAAAAGTCTTTAAACTACCGCCAAAAATTCCGAAAACTGAAGAGGAAACAAGACACTATATAGACAGCATCAAATTGAACATCGAAAACAAACTAGTAGATACAAGAAACGTACAAGCTTACTATGATGCGCTAGAAGCAACTATAACAAAAAGTTTAACTAGCCTAAACAATCCTAAAAAAGAAAAACTACACAAAATATTTAGCCAAGAAACAATAGCCTTAATTAACAAACGCAGTGAGCTTACTATAAGAAAGAATAAAGATGCTAATACAAAGAAAGAACTAAGCAAATTATATAAGGAAACAAGCAAAGCGATCAAACGAGACTATAATAAACACAGGCAAAGAATAATAACAGAAAATCTAAACAATTTCAGAAGCACAAAGAAAGCATTTAAAGAACTGAACTTAAGAAAAACTTGGATACAAAAACTAGAAGGCCAACACAAAGAAACTAAAACCAGACAAGAAATCATACAGCAGGCAACTACTTTCTACCAAGAATTATACAAAAACAAATATAAGAACATCGAGGAAACCAACGAATTACACTATTGTTATAACACGGAAACAATTAGACCGATAGAAGAAAAAGATATATACGCCCAGTTGAAACAACTAAAATCAGATAAAAGTCCTGGTCCCGATGGAATAACCAATGAAGCTTTGAAAATAGGTGCACCAGTTTTACTTAAACCTCTCACAGAATTATTCAACTGCATACTAGAAGCTGAAATCGTACCTATCCAATGGTGCAGGTCAGACATCATACTACTGTATAAAAAAGGAAACCCTCTCGACATCAACAACTATAGACCAATTAGTTTACTGGCAAACATGTACAAAATCTTCTCATCTATAATTCTTAAACGCATAACACAAGAGATTGAAAACGCACAACCAATAGAACAAGCTGGCTTTCGCTCTGGGTTTAGCACACTAGACCATATACAGGCACTAGAACAAGTTATAGAAAAATACGAAGAGTTTAATAAGCCACTATATCTAGGTTTTATCGATTACAGCAAAGCATTTGACAGCATAAGCCACAACTCGATATGGAAATCACTAAAAAAATTAAACATAAATTCAAAATATATAAAGATTATCAAATACATATACAACAACAGCATAAGTAATGTCATGCTAGAATCTAGAGGTGATGCAATTAATATCGAAAGAGGAGTCAGACAGGGGGACCCGCTGTCACCTAAATTGTTTATTGCGGTTTTAGAAGATGTATTTCGAAACACAGACTGGAAAAATAAAGGCATAAAAATAAACAACAGCTATCTAAGCCATCTCAGATTCGCGGACGACATAGTTATACTGTCTGAAACAGCAAATGAATTACAAGATATGCTCCGCTCTCTTGCTGTAGCAAGCTCAAAAATAGGATTAGAGATGAATGCTACAAAAACTAAAATCATGACAAACGACAGAGAACGGCCCATCAATGTAAAAGTCTATAGAATATGTCCACAGTTACATCTACCTAGGCAAACAAATATCATTTTTGAAAACGCACAATGAAGATGAAATTGAAAGAAGAACAAACATAGCTTGGAAGAAATTTTGGTCACTCAAAGAAATTCTAAAAGGAGACTACTCGATAAACCTTAAGAAAACGGTATTAGACACCTGTATACTGCCTTGTCTACTCTATGGCTGCCAAACTTGGATATATACAAGAAAAGCAAAACAAACGATCACAACAACACAAAGAGCCATGGAGAGAAGCATCCTAAATATAAGAAAGATACAAAAAGTCAGGAGCAAGGAAATCAGACAGAAAACAAAGATAACAGATGCCCTCACGCAAGCTTTAAAATTGAAGTGGCAGTGGGCAGGTCACGTATCGAGATACACAGACAGCAGGTGGACAATCAAAACTACAAAGTGGAAAGGGCCAATCGGTAAAAGAAGGGTAGGGAGACCAAAAAGAAAATGGGCTGACGATATAACCGAATTAATAGGAAAAGACTGGCAAACTATCGGCACGGACAGAGATGAGTGGAAAGAACTGGAGGAGGCCTTCACCCGAGGAGGGGTCCATATCCAAATAGAAAAAACTAACCCTTACTAACATTTAGACAATAAGAAAAACATGAATAACTAACTAAACAATAACAACATTTGAAATGGAATTTAAGGATACGGAAATACAGGCTTTTTTATTTTATTTTATTTATTTATTTAATGATAGATGCGATTTTTCAGAACCATATGCATAAGTAACAGTTGGCTTGTTGGTCTAGTGGTTAGTGACCCTGACTGCTAAGCCGAAGATCGTACGTTCGATTCCCACCCAGGTCAAATAATTGTGTGATGAGCACGATCATTCGTTCTGTGTTTGGGCATAATCTATGTATCTATAGTATGTATGCATTTAAAAATGTTGAAGTATGTTTATCAGCAGTCTGGTTAACATAGTACAGGCTCTGCCTAGTTTGGAATAAGACGGCCGCGTATGAGATGTGTGAAGTTACTATTATTAATTATGTTATGTGTCGGTTAACGCGTTTCAGATACTATGACACATCATCTACTAGTATTTGTCGAGGATCTTAGTATATTTGTGACACATGAGCCACAATTACGTGGCATTTTCGTGTGTATTTTTATTATAATGAATGTTGATAAAAATAGCTCAGAAATTAAGAAATAAGCTTATCTAAAGCTTCTTCAAACCCTTAAGCTAAGTGTCGCTAAGCTTAGCTTATCTTAAGCTTCCTCTAGCCGTTATGCTAAATGTAGCTTGAACCCTTCACATCACATCAACAGCCTTTAATAGTCCACTGCTGGACATGGGCCTCTCCTTAGAAAACCTTAAGAGATGATAATATTATTATAGAGTTAGCAGGACTTTATATTTTATTATCATTTTAGCATAATTTATTTTAAATGTTCTATGACTAATATATATGTTTGCATGTGTGTGCAGCGATGGTCGCAGATGGTCGGTGGCGTCGCTTCCGTCCTCGGGCTACGGGACCACACCGGGCAGCTCTAGTCTTTCGGTAAGTATATAATATTAGATAGATAAACACAGTACACGTCGTTAATATACAAAGAAAGGCCTTATTTGATAAAACAATATCTTCTAGATATGAGGGTCATCACTGATCGCAGTAAACGTAGATTGCAACAAAATCTCTGCCTCTTAAAATAATTTTTCAATGATGCTTTTGCTCCTATTGGTTGTAGCATGGTTAAGGCGCTTCTACACGGTGCAAGTAGTTAGGGCGGGTAAAGACGTGTCTTATTTGCGTTAGTAGTATGCACAAGTTACTTGTTAGTAGTAGTAGTAGTCCGTGTAGTGACGGATTAAGAATACGGAATGTCACGTTACGATGTCGTAAGAGCCGACTAAGGTCGCAAAACAACACAGGACACCTCAAAAAGAAGGAAAACTTGACACAGACCCTATACCAACTCGTCTGGCTAGCGTGATATAGTAGGCCAAAACCTCCATTGATGTCCAGCAGTAGACTATTATAAGCCGTTGATGACTTGTTCGTAACTTGTTCATGCTGCTCGCGCGGGTTACATGTATAGGTCTTGCTAGTTTCAGATTTGATGCAGTTCAGTACCAGGATGCTTATATACGGCGTAGTAGCTGGAGTAAGTGATGGCGTTAAAATGCCTCGACGAACGAGAGTTCTTATGAAATCATTTGTTAAATATGTTATTCTATCAGAGTTAATACATTCACCACGCGATGAATATCATGCAGATGGCTCGCGCTGGTACGTGCTCGAGACGCTAGACCCACGAAGCATATAACCTGCGCAAGTACTACACACTACAAGCTACTTGTATCGTGTAGAAGTACCCTTATATAGCCTACCTCGTTAAATAGGCTATCCAACGCTGTTTCTTTTTCAAATTAGAGCGGTCAATTAAACAAACACACTCTTCAGCTTTATAATATTTGTATAGACTACGTGATTTTTTGCAATTTAGTACTATATAGCAACTAAAGACCCAAAGAAAACTAGGTAGGTTTTAGCTATTGACTATTCATTATTAATTTGAGCGAATGGTTGTTTGTTACTCAATCACGCCAGAACGGCTGAACGTAATTGAATGACATTTAGCACAAAGATAGACTGGTATGTGACATAGGTTTTTTTATCCGAAAAAAAAAATGTTTGACAAAGATAACATAAACGCGATGTTACGGACAACAGCTAATATGGTATTATTTTAATAACAGAGTAATTTAAAAAAAAACATACATCCGAACGTAGAACAATTTTTGAAGTCGGTAAATAAAATTCTCACATTTCGTGGTTTGGCATCATTTCTTCTTTACTGGGCCACGAGGTATTCAAATCATGTCATACCATATTTCCTATTTGTATTTCCGTAAACCAGCATTCAAAAGCAACTTCTGAGAATTGTTTTGAACACGTGCGCTACGTCGTCACTTAGTGCTAATTAGTTTCGGAACTAGATATTAGTAGTACATTTTACACGGAATCTATCTTAAAAATAGACTAAAAAACACTTAATGATGAACTAAGTCAGAGATCGTGGGTTCGATTCCAACCTAGGACGAATATTGTGTAATGAGCATTATGATTTTCAGTTTACATCAGTTTATAGTTATTGATTCTCTGTACAAACTTCTAGCCTCCTTTTCACTCCTTAAAGGTTTTGATTTCTGAGATAAAAAGTACCCTATGTCCTTTCCCGGAATTCAAACTACATATCTCAATACTAAATTTCATCTAAATCGGTTCAGCGGTTTAAGCGTGCAGAGGTAACAGACTGACAGACAGACAGACAACACTTTCGCATGGTCTTAGGCTTTGTCGAGGTAGGAGGAGGTTACACGCCATAAAAAAAGTGACTGTTCTGGTCCGAAACTAGTAGTGACCCCACGAAAACCAAACGTGAGTAAAACCGTTTACTATCTATGCGTTCCTAAACCACTGATCAGATTGTGATGAAACTTTGGTAGGGTGTATACTACGGGCTTCTGGCCCAATAAATCTGCATGTAAATGATTTTTTTTCGTTATTCCTTTATACTTTTACAACACACGCCCTAATAAAAACATCGCCCTAATAAATTTACTAAATATGAAGAGTATTCACTAAAGTTTTTTTATTACAATACGAGTATAGCTGATCTCATCTCTGACAGACCACCACTTTTGGAGTTCTGTCTTATATAAATCGTGAATGCTTTGTTTGTCTAACCTTACATAAACGGTGTATAAATAAAACCACAAAGACATGATCGTGATCAGAAATTTAACGTAACGAAATCGATTCGGTTTGTACACAGCGTGCGAACAAGGAACGGCCCGACGCCGCATACCGAATGTATATGCGTCTTGCTAATCTTTGTTTACTAAATACGCGTTTGAGTTTCTTGATACTTGACATACCTATATTACCTAATATAGTTGATACTTTTGATATCGCTTCTAAGAAATAAGCAAAAGAAGTTTTCTCATACGAGCCGACTAAGGGAGCAAAATACGCAGGACAACAGCACTGCAAAGAGGAGAACTTGAAACAAAAACTATACCAACCCATCTTGCCAGCGTGGTATAGTAGGCCAAAACCTCGTTGCTAAGGAGCAGTCTATGTCCAGCAGTGGACTATTGAAAGACTGTTGAAGATAGTGATGATTGTCGCATATATCCAGAGTGGAGTATTGTGTCAGTACTTGTAAATATACAAAAAAAAACGGGTATATAGTTAGCCAGTTGGTGTCTCTGTAATATTGACTACTTGAATGTAAAACGCATTCCACGAAATAAAACGAATGTTACTGAACACCACTGGGTTAAGGCATTGGACTCTTAATACGGTCTTAAGGTCTTATACTTAAGTTTCAGTCCGGTTTCCCATGATAAAAAATATTTCTCATTACATTTCAATTTGGCAATTTTTTAATCTAACACTTCTAAATCTAAATAAAATGGTATGAAATCAATATAATAAATTATTTTTAGCTCTGTTTATGAAGTGTTGGGCGCATTAATGTCCCGCCTTTGTCCACTTGTTGCAGTCGCAATGTTCGTCCCAGGAACGACTGCTGGCGGTGCAGGCGGTATGCGAGCCTCCGCGAGCGCCTTGCCCGCACTGCCACCAACATCAGAATTCCCTCAAGTAAGTTCAGGGTTTTACACCTAAATATATGTAAATTAATTTTAAAACATATATTAAATGGATTAAATGTTAGGTCTCGCTTTAGAGTCTAGTTATAAACATATTTTAGGCAGTACTTATTTGCAGTAACTTGTTAAACTGATAGATATTACTATTAAGTGAGCTATATTATTGACTGCGCGGATAGTGTAGAGGTTTAAGCGGTCGACACGCCGCTTCCTACTACGCCAAGTGTTGTGGGTTCGATCTCCACATGGGGCGACACTTTTTGTGATCCACAAATTGTCGTTCTGAGTCTTGGTGTTCTTTGTGTCCATTTTATGTATGTTTGTAAAGTCCCTCGCGACACAGGATAATTATATTCTTTATTTATTTATTTGTTCTATTTAAGAATTACAGCTAAATCAACAGATTTACAGTAGAATAGTATTAGAAAGGTAATTACAGGTCTTAACTTTTTTACTAACAATTAAGTGTGACTGATTCATGTTAATTGTATAGTACAGTCAGCTATAATTATAATTATATATGGGAGAGGGTGGGGGGGGAGGTGGTGAGATTTTTCAGGCTTGAATTAGATAATATTCCTGCTCTTGCGCAAAAAATACTAAGATACTTTCTAATGAATTTCTTCCGTGATATTTCGTAGAAGTGGCCTTTTGCATATAATTATTTAGTTATTAAGTTGCCGATAATTATACTTGTAATGATAGTCTGTCTGAATTTTGTGGCGTTGTGTCTACAGCAGTTCGCAAGGCAGCGGTATGAACAACTGGGCGTCGTTGTCGGATAGCGGCGGCAGCGGTCACACGGCGGCGCGCGCACCCTCGCCGCAGTCTCCTGCGAGACGCGTGCGCAGCAGGAGTCTCAGGTCTCACATTATATGCTGACTATATTTAAACCTTTTTGTTTTAAAGGGACCTTAAGAAGTGTAATTATGTTGTCGAGCGTGATTTTTGCGCAAAATGTAATCAAATTGTGTTTTTTTTTTGCGTATTGACTATTGACTCAGATCTCCTTTTCTTCTTATGTAGGTACTATATTTTGTATGCCCAATACAAGATTTAAATCCTCATCTAAACACTAATACTGGGTATTCTGAATAGCGAACCTGTCATTGTTGATAACAAAATACGCGAACTATAAATTATTTTTCCAGCTGTTTCCATTTTTTTAACGGTCGTTTTGAATGATCTTAGTCAGATCTTTTTTTTTTTTTATAGAGTAGATGAGTTATCGACTCTGATGTCATATATTCTATTGTGTATGCAGAAACTGTTAGAAGCAATCTAATCCAACACAAAAAACGCACAAAGGAAAAAAAAAGTTAAGGAAATCGATTGGATAGGATGGACGTACGGCGTCAGAATATACTTTTTTTTTAAATAGATTATTACACTTATTGTTAACTTGAGCGGCTCATGGTTAAGTGGTAACCGAGTAGGTTAGCACATTGCAAAGTTAAGCAATCATAGCCAGGTCAGGCTATGAATGGGTGACCATTCTTAACCCATAAACCGTCGGTTCCAGTTGCCATAGAACATCTGAACAGTCTTTACGAGCAGTTGGAGTCCTAAAAAGTTCGACAATCTTAAATACAGATCTTTGAAATCGCCTAGTACTTGGGTTGTGAAGGTCTGATGGCAATCGCTCTACATAAGAAATCTAAGTTCAGCCGTCTCATTTGGGATAAGGCTGAAGGTCAGATTAGCAAACGTAAATCAGACTACTATCTGTATACTATATTGCTATCTTAATGGGCCACAAAACACTTATAGCATACGAGATGACTCAGAGACTGTGTCCGCAACGAATGCGAGGAATCTTGGCAAACAGCGTTGTTTACCCGCGAAACGTGCCCATGTTACGTAAGCATATTGATTATTATCTGTATACATACAATGTTTATATAGAGCCTATTAGTGATTTTATAACGTCAGGCAAAAATAGACTTATACTCGAACTAGCTTATGCCCGCGGCTCCGCCTGCGTGTATTTCGATTATCGCGGTAAAAAGTAGTCTATGTCCTTCCTCAAGAATCAAACTATCTGTATACCAAATTTCATTTGAATCGGTTCAGCGGTATTTGATTCCCCATACAAACTTCTGGCCCCCTTATCACTACCCTTAAAAGATGATTTCAGGGATAAGAACTATGCTATGTCCTTTCCCGAGACTCAACAGAGTTAACAGACAGACATATACACGGAAAGACACTTTTAAATTTATTATATTATTATGCATTGGAACCGCCCCGCTAGGGTTATTGACTACACGATCTCCTTTGAGGCAGCAAGTCTCCTGGCCGGAACTCCACCGTGGGACCTGGAGGCGAGAGCCCTTGCGGTTCTGTATCAGTGGCGCAAGGAGGCGCGGGAGTTGGGTCGGAGCCCTGATCATTCTACAAGTAAAAAAAAAGAAATGATACCAGATTGCTGATAAACATACTTATATATTTCTAAATACATACATATTATAGATAAATTACAACCAGACGCAGAACAAATGATCGTACTCTTCACACAATTCAAAAACAAGCCAGTTTAGTTTTATTAATAAAAAAAAATACTTATTTAATTTTATTTTTATAAAAACACAATTATTTTTAATGAGTAGAAACAGAGAGAGGTATAAATTTTATTTGACCCAGTTCTATAAATCCGCGAGATTTTTTAAGATTTATAATTTTTTTTATTCGGCTAACAATATATGTACCTATATGAATGTACCTATTGATTTCTTTAAACAAAAAAATGTATGTATAAAAATGACAATTATTTTATAGGATCCGAAACTAATCTTATATATAAAATTCTCGTGTCACAATGTTCGTTCCCGTACTCCTCCGAAACGGCTTGACCGATTCTCATGAAATTTTGTGTGCACATCGGGTAGGTCTGAGAATCGGCCAACATCTATTTTTAATACCCCTAAATGGTAACCCATCCTAATTTTTTTTTTGTTTTGCAATACAACGTTTGCCGGGTCAGCCAGTATAAAACAAAATTCAACAAAAAATGAGGGAATATAATTAGTTACTTACTAGTTTGTTCAATTTTTGTCGTCTTTTTTAAACAGTTTTTTTTATAAATGTTTTCATCGAAAAAAAAAAACAATTTAAAATTCGACTGTAACGTGTTCTGTCCGGTTCTCGCTCTTTACAATTTGTATGCATATATGTCCATTTGCAGTAAGTGTTGTTTCTCTATGTATATACTAAAAAAAGAAAGTCTATTTACGATTATACATGTTCTAGAAATTACAGTACAAAACCCATAGTACCTACTACGTTTTGTTCGGGTGTACATAGCATGGTGTTACATTACACCCCAGAATCTCTTCAAGTATTCAATAGCTGATGACTTTGTTTGGTTGAATGCACTAATCTCAGGAACTGCTGCTTCAAATTGAAAAATTCTTTTAATATTGGCTAGCTCATTATCGAGGAACGCTATAAATATAACATCAACGGTACTGCTAATGGGAGCCATATATCAATTAAAAATGTTGCAAAAACGGTCAAAATTTTCTTTCTTTTAAGGAGATGTAGAAAAAGTTGCGGGTGTCAGTTAGTATTAATAATGATCTATCGTTTGCAGTTCACCATCTCGTAGCGGTGGTGGCAGCGGCTCCAATGGAGGGTCGGGATCCCGCGATGACGCTGTGTCCGCCATGTCGGCGCTTTTCGCAGCCAGATTCCCGGCCGCGCAGAAAGCTATGGATGACAAGTAATGGTTTTTAAAATGTAATTCTTGGCGGACAAAGGTCTGATGAAATGTTGAAGAGTCTAGAACCACGATTCTTGCAAAGAGTCGAGCTATTTCCGAGAATCGACTGCACGGATGGCGTAGTGGTTTAAGCGGTCGCCCCGCCGCTTCATACCACGCCGAGTGTTGTGGGTTCAAACCCCACGTGGGACGACACTTTGTGTGATCCGCAAATTGTTGTTCTGAGTCTGGGTGTTCTTTGTGTCCGTTTCATGTATGTTTGTAAAGTCCCCCGCGACACAGGATATATTCCTAATGCGGGAGTTGTCTTTAAAAAAAAAAAAACAAAAAAAAAAAAAACGTTCTATGGTCTGACAACCCCGGAGGAGCAAAGACCGTCATGGAATAAAACAAGATGTCAAGTGGTTGTCTGTCAGAAAAAAAATGTTGACTAAAATAAAATAAATATAATGAAGTGAAGAAAATTGTCTGGGCTTTAAAAGAGATCATAATCTCTGAGTTTGTTTTGTCCTTTCTTCTAGAATACGAACTAAAAATTGATTAATATACAATATTTCAGGTTAAGAGGCCTAATCGATGAGTTAACGGAGTTAGACAAGAAACCTGACAGGCCACCCATCGAACGATTTGTCCAGAGACAGGTAAGGATTTAAATAGCAGAAAATATCTTTATTCCTTTAGCCATAAAGTTCACTTCTAAACATTAACCATAAGCTTTGCCCATAAGGTTTCTGCCTCAAAGGTGAAACCTTAGGGGCAAATCAATCAATCAACAGCCTGTACTAGTCCACTGCTGGACATAGGCCTCTTCTTAAAAAGGAGGTTTTGGCCTACTATACCACGCTGGCCACACAGGTTGGTATAGGATTTGTTTCAAGTTTGCCTTCTCCTTGCGGTGCCGTTGTCCTGCGTAGTTTGCTCCCTTAGTCGACTCTTACGACACCCACGGTATGAATAGGGGTGGTGACACTCTGTATTCTTAATCCGTCACCACACGGACTTAGAGGCAAAGCTACTGAAAAATATTTTCTTTAATATACAGTTGGTTCTACCCACCTATCAGAAGCAGTGGACATTATTTTTGTTCTTAAGACATTATTGTACAATACATTGTTTCTGTTCCTAAATATAAAAAAAATACCTACGTATATATGTATTTTTCGGTTAATCCCGACAATGTACTCCTTGAATAGGGACCCCTGTTAGGCCTGAAAGTAATTGACCTCCCCCAACACGCATTACCCTTAAAACAAAAGTGACATAACTCTACTATTAATTCTTCTTCACTTTTAGTTAGTTCATTTTTATTCTTTGTCTGCTACATATATGGACGGCTGGATGGTACGTACGGATGGTGTAGTTGTTTAAGCGGTCGCCACGCCGCTTCCTACTACGCCGTGTGTTGTGGGTTCAAACTTCACATGGGACGACTCTTTGTGTTACCCAAAAATTGTTGTTCTGAGTCTGGGTGTTCTTTGTGTCCGTTTCATGTATGTTTGTAAAGTCGTCCGCGACATAGGATATGTTCCTAATGCGGACGTTTTCCTTTAAAAAAGTATTTTATAGTATTATTTGTTTTCTAGGTTCTAGAGATGGCGCGCGATTGCCTTCATAAGTCTGAATCGAAGCAGGTCACCAGCAGTTACTTTTACGATATGGCTGACAGCTTGGATCGGCTGCTGGCTGAGGTAACTGCTTAACTTTTTTGAACCATTCTTAAAAATATGTTAAAGATGACTATTGTGATACCTGAACTAGGAACTCATCTTCCTATATATTTAGTTATACAGTATTAGGTATATATTATCGTACATACTTTAATTGGCAAACCAGCCACCTCTACTTTCTGTAATAACAAACAGTTCACACAATAAAATAGAAAATGTAGATATATTTAAAAAAAAACCTTCACGAAAAGTCGTACTCCGTCCTAAAAGGTCGGCAACGCGTTTGTGACTCCTGAGTTGCAGACGTTCATGGGCGGCGATGGTCACTTTCCATCAGGTGACCCGTCTGCTCGTCTGCCCTCTCTTCCATAAAAAAGAAAAAAACTTTTGTAAGCCGTCGTTCAAAATCCCCTCCCCCCCAATAGGCGGGCACTCAAAGGTTGACATCGTAGTTAGACTTTTGACTGGCAGATGTCTTTGCACAGCAGTAGTCACCATCAGATAATCCGGCTGCTTTGTCCACTATACCACGAAAATAGTCTACATTTTGATGACTTCACGGACGGAGTCTACATTTTGATGATCACACTTTGTGTGATCCACAAATTGTTGTTCTGAGTCTGGGTGTCCTTTTGGTCCCTTTCATGTATGTTTGTAAAGTCCCCCGAAACACAGAATTTATTCCTAGTACGGGAGATGTCTTTTTAAAAAAAAATCAATGTTTTTTTTAAAGACTCGAGAAAAATCAGCGGACGCGGGCAACCAAGTAGCACCTCTGGTTACTCGGCTGATACTAGCGATGGCTCGGCCGGCGCGACTACTGGAGTGTCTCGAGTTCGATCCTGAACGATTCTACAGGCTACTAGAGGCTGCTGAAGGACAAGCAAGGCAATTGCAGGTGTGTTTTAGTGAATTTTACAAGTTTTTGTACAAGACTGTACCTTAAAATAAACAGTGTAAGATCGTATTTGGTACAACTATAAATTATGTTTAAGATTCATATTTAATGAACCGGTTTATTATATAAAGAAATAAATAAATAAGTGGCTTGAATACTGATATGAACCTTATTGTCTAGGGTATAACAACAGATATCCCACAATACATCATTCACAAGTTGGGTCTGTCAAGAGACCCCTTGGCTGAACTGCACGCCCCACCCCCGCCGCCTCCGCCGCAGAACTCTTCACCGTCAAAGTAAGTGGCACTAGTAATTATCGTTTCGTACGAGAGCTTGAAACCTGATTGGTGATTGCAGGGTTTGCTCGATGCGTTGCTATTTTCTTAACGCGAATGCACTGTAGGTTTTTTTATGTTAACTGTAATCTTAGACAGGTTCAATAAATAAAATTCAGCTCTTGGAACGGAGTTCCTTATCGCGCGCTACACGCTCTGTGCAGATGGGAGCGAGACCAAAAAAGTGTAACAAGACTTTTACGCGACACTTCGGTTGGCGCGTCTCTGACATCTTTTTCATATTTTATGTATATAGCAACCTACCAAAAAGCGACAGTTACTTCGTTCCGATCGGGGGTCCATAGACCCCTTTTTTTGAGAAATGTAACATGCTATAACTTAACTTGACTACTACTACGTGAGATGAATCTAATTATTGTGACCAAATTTTGGTATATAAACCTCTACCTACCCCTTTGGAGTAACAGATATTAGAGATAAGACTGCTCGGATGACGTAGTGGTTTAAGCGGTGACCTCGTCGCTTCCTACTGCGCTGAGTGCTGTGGGTTCGATCCTCACACTGTGTTGTTCTGAGTCTGGTTGTCCTTTGTGTCCGTTTCATGTACGTTTGTAAAGCTTTGTGTAAATATACCTAATGTGTATGTTTTGTTTAGGAGCAGAGGTCGTACATCCCCACCTTCCGGTCAGGGGGGCGCTCCCCCATCTGAAAACGACTACCAAGTCATCAAGCTGATCTCAAACGGGGCTTACGGCGCCGTCTACCTAGTTAAACACAAACAAACCAAACACAGGTAAAAACTATTTAGTTTAAAATTAACAAAACTAATTATAAAAGAAACAAAGAACATTTGGGTGTTTTTGAATATGCTAGGTAATCTACGTAACCACTGCACTTGTTAGATTATTATCATCCTTCTTGGTCCAGACGATTGAGATTTATCAACACTTGTTTGTAAAAGATTGCAGACTGAGATAAAGCCGCCCATTACTATTGTTATTTTTTTCCTTCATTAATTGTGGTGACGGATGTAACTGATTTGGAATCTAAATCTTAATGGCACTGAATCATAGAGTGCAGTAATTTATTTTTGCAGCTTTGATTAGTTTTAAATGTACTTATCAATATGCATATAAAAACCTAGCTTTTTCCCGCGGCTTCGCCCATGTGTATGTCAGTTATCGCGGTAAAAAGTAGTATAATATACCTTTCTAATAGTAAAATCCGTGTGGTGACCGATTAAGAATACGGAGTGTCACTACCCCTATTCATCCCGTGGGTGTTGTAAGAGTCGACTGAGGGAGCAAACTACGCAGAACAACAGCGCTACAAAGGGAATAAAAATTTTAAACAAACCCTATACCAAACCGTCTGGCCAGCGTGGTATACTAGGCCAAAACCTTTCTAAGGAGAGGCCTATGTCCAGCAGTGGACAATTAAAGGCTGTTGATGATGATGATATATTTATATTTATGCAATATAGAATATATATTTATTTATTTATACATCTTAATTGTACACCGCTACAGTATATATTTGACGACTGGATGGCGTAGTAGTTTGTGTAACGGACTGCTATTCCAAAGGTCGCGGGTTTGATTCCCGCTCAAGTCAAACATTTGTGTGCATGACCATTTAAGATTTGATTTGGTCTGGGTGTTTCTATGTATAATAAGTATGTATTTACAAAAAAAATGTATAAATGTATTTATATCAGTTATCTAGTAGCCATAGTACAAGCTCTGCTTAGTTTGGGACCAGATGGCGTTGTATGAATGTGGTACAATATTATTATTATTATATTGTACAGACATGGATGGTCATCTACATTTTGGTATTACAATAGCCTTACAATAGCCATGGCGATCTCTTACAGACAACCTTTACACGGATATTGTTCAATCTGATTTAGGGTATTCGATGGTGTACCTTAGATAGTTAATAATTATATTAACTATATCTTTTCATAACACACACACACACATACATATTAATGTGTTAGTAGTATGTATATATACTAACATACTAACACATATAAATCCATATAAATAATAAATATATACAAAGGACATAAAGGTCAAATCTATTTAGAATATATTAAAAAATCAATAACATAAAGATTGTTGAATTTTTGCGCAGGTATGCAATGAAGAAGATAAGTAAAAACAACTTGATACTGAGAAACCAAGTGGAACAAGCCTTCGCCGAGAGGGACATCCTGAGCTTCGCAGACAACCCCTTTGTGGTAAGTTACGTACACCCCCCCCCACACCCCTCCCCCTCCCCCCAAAGTCAGTAACATACTTATTCTCTTCAGTTGCAAGTGTGACCCGTCTGCTTGTTTGCACTCTTATACATAGAAAAAAAACCGGTCAGGTACGAGTCGAACTCGTGCGCCGAGGGTACCCTACCTACCCAGGTTTTACGTAGGTTTTCGCGAAAATCGATATTTGTCCATATCTTATTATCGTGTTGACTCAGGACCTTGATTTTTTACACCTAATAGGGACCATAAACCTCAGTATCTGGTATAAATTTCAACCTGTTAGGTCTACCCGTTCCTGAGAAAATCGGTGGTGACACACGGACAGACGGACAAGAAAGTGATCTTATAAGGTTTCCTTTTTTACCTTTTGAGGTACGGAACCCTAAAAATGTACTGTTCTAGACTATAATCTATCTCATTCATCCAGATCCATTCAGCCGTTCAGGCGTGATTGTGACAAACAGCCTTCAAAACTTCATTTATATTAGGTCTTTACCTATGAAATTGCCGTTTTGTATGCAATAAGTGAAAGTACTTATTTTTTCAAACTTTTTTATTTCTGTTAATAAGCTGGGGTTGGAAGCTCTCCCTCATCCGCCATACTCACCAGACCTTGCACCTACCGACTATTACTTTTTCCAAAATTTAGACAACTTTTTAGTGGGTAAAAAATTCAATTCCCGAGAGGCAGTACAAAATGCCTTTGAAGAGTTTGTTGCCTCCCGTCCAGCTGATTTTTACAAGAAGGGCATCAATTTACTGCCAATGCGTTGGCAAAGATGCGTCGATTGCATGGGTTATTACTTCGAATAACAGAAATAAAAAAGTTTGAAAAAATAAGTACTTTCACTTATTGCATACAAAACGGCAATTTCATAGGTAAAGACCTATTAATATTACTTGCTTTTACCCGCGGCACCGCCCGTGTGTCGGTCATCGCTAACCTATGTTACTCCCTGATAATGTAGCTTTCCATCGGTAAAAGAATTTAATTAAACATTGGTAAACAAATCAACTCACTTTCACATTTATAATATAAGTATGGAGGTATGGATTGTATATGGTCCGTAAGATAACCTGTTGATAAAAATATTAATATGTATTTCTACCGATAGTACAGCAGTAGTAGATACTCTTGGTGTTATCAGGACAATCGTTCTGATTAAATTTATATGTTTAAATTTATATGCAATACGATATGGCGTTGTTTTTGTATTCAAAACATTTTTCTTTATCAAATGTTTGAAGGCATATCTATGGTCCAATAAAAATATTACCGTATCAGCTAAATGCGAGACTTGGCATAGCACAAAACACTTTTAAATTAGTTAATACATTACAGTTAGCAGCTTAATTATTGATGAGAAAATTTTGCAATATGACTCAAACTCTCTTTATTTCATAAAACTTTTAAAATTGTTTGAAATCGTCTTTTATGTAGACTCTAAAGTCATAGATCAATACACACAAAAGCAACAATCTCTGTTTTGTCAAATGGGAAGCCAATAAATTAACCAAAATTAAACTTTTACAAAATCTATGAAATGCCTGTCTCGATCTAAAACCGCCCGTTTCCAAGGGGTTGAGCCTTATGAGAAGAAAGGGCAAACAAACTCATGGCCACTCTATGCTTTTGAGTTGTAAAGTATTATATGCATATATTAATATGACTGCCTCGGTAGTGCAGTGGTAGCTTATGCGACTGCTGTGCTGAGGTCTTGTGTTCAATTCCCGGGTCGGACCAAATGTTTGTATGATCTGCAAATATTTGTTTCGGAGTTTGGGTGGTTTCTATGTATAATATGTATGTATTTACAAAAAAGTTAATAAGTATTTTATCAGTCAATCTAGTTTTCATAGTACAGACTCTGCTTAGTTTGAAACTAGAGGGCGTTGTGTGTCAGTTGGACATAATATTATTATTATAATATATAAAATATATATGTACGTATATAGATTTGAGAAATTTGTAGGTCATAAGTCTTTGTAAGACCTTTAATTACAAAGATTAAAATATATATAAGTATCTAAGTTACAGGGCCTAAGGAAAGCATTTACATCTATTACAAATTAAGTTAAAATGTATTATTGTGTTCAGGTGACTATGTACTGTTCGTTCGAGACAAAGCGCAATCTGTGCCTGATCCTCGAGTTCGTTGAGGGGGGGGACTGCGCCACGCTCCTGCGGACGGGCCCGCTGCCGCCCGACATGGCGCGCCACTACTTTGCTGAAGCGGTACTCGCTGTGGAGTACCTTCACTCGTACGGCATCGTGCACAGGGACCTGAAGCCTGACAAGTAATTATACTCACTAATCATCACACCAAACACATCAATAGCCTTAATATTAGGTTATGGCCTACTATTAATGAAAGTTAAAAATCGATCTAAGTGTCGTGCAAAGCGGCGTTAGCCTAGTGGTTAAGGCGTTGGACTTGTGATCAAGAGGTCTTGGGTTCAAATCCTGACCAGTATACTACCGATGTGAACCCACTCCCAACACAAGCAATGCGGGAGGGGTTAACGGGAATACTTGTAATTTCGGTTGCTAGACCTTTAAAAAAAAGAATATGACTGAATATGACAATATCACATCATCCACATGAAAGATGTTCTGGTTTTATAATTGTGTATTTGTTTTACAGTTTACTCATCACGGCAACGGGTCATATAAAGTTGACTGACTTCGGGCTCAGCAAGATGGGTTTGATGTCGTGTAAGTATTTATTTTAAATTATTTTGTCCTTTTCTGTCTTGTTAAAGATATGTTATGAGGTACTGAGTCTTTTAAAACAACTAATCACTACTGAACTGTTGGTTTAGTGGTTAGTGAATCTGACTGCTAAGCGAAGGTCGTGGATTCGATTCCCACTAAGGACAAATAATTGTGTCATGAGCTCGATCATTTGTTTTGTGTCTGAGTGTAATTTATATATAATATGTATGCATTTGGAAATGTATAAGTATCTTTATCAGCAGCCTGGTTACCATAGCCCAGGCTTTGCCTAATATGGAATCAGATGGCCGTGTGTGATGTGTGAAGTTATTATTTAAAATTATATGTTTTATATTGAATTTGTTACAGTGGCTACAAATCTATACGAAGAATACGCCGACAGGGAGGCTCGCCAGTTCTCAGATAAGCAAGTTTGCGGCACTCCCGAGTACATAGCACCGGAGGTCATCCTCAGACAGGTCTGAGTTATAACCACTATACTATTTTATTAAAATAATTGTTTGAAACCTTAACATTATTATTGAGATATATTGCGATACAAGAAATAAGTCCTTATTTACCATGTTTAAGGCTTATTATCTTACTGCCTTGGCCGCTGTGGTATCACATTTCGTTTTCCGTAATATGTTCCTACCAAATGTTAATACAATACAATTTGTTTTATTTGCTGTAATGCGGTAACACAAAGGTAGTAAATATACTATAAAAATACATCTAAAACATTTGAAAATTTAAATTCATGGTGTACAAATATGTGGCTATCATTTACATGATATGTTGTTTTGTTCAAAATTTAATGCATAATTCTACAAAAATCTACCAAAGTCGAACATAAAAAACGAGAAAAGTTGGGATTTTTAAAGTGTCCTAATTTTTATGCAGTCCAGTGTATAGCAGAATTTTGTCCGTGTAGTGACGGATTAAGAATACGGAATGTCACTACCCCAATTCATCCCGTGGGTGTCGTAAGAGCCGACTAAGGGCGCAAAACAACGCAGGACACCAGTACTGCAAAAAGAAGGAAACCTTGACACAAACCCTATACCAACCCGTCTGGCCAGCGTGATATAGTAGGCCAAAACCTCCTTTCTAAGGAGAGGCCTATGTCCAGCAGTGGACTATTAAAGGCTGTTGATGTGTGTGTTTGTATAGCAGAACATTTGATTGTTGTTTTAATTTTACGCCTCGTGTCTACATTCACCAGGGTTATGGCAAACCTGTGGACTGGTGGTCAATGGGCATCATCCTGTATGAATTCCTTGTGGGCTGTGTGCCGTTCTTCGGAGACACCCCTGAGGAGCTGTTCGCTCATACTGTCAACGGTAAGTTTTTATTTCATTTTTCATCTTTTAAATGTGTAAGTGAGTATGTACGAAACTTTCGCGTAAGAATCATTAACAACCATACAAAATTTCAAGGACCTTCGACCTCGACCAGGCTAAAAACTTTTATAGCGAGATGTAGAATTAGTAGTTACTGCGTAGTTCGCATAGTCTCCGCTAGATCGTGCTGAAGTATGTTTTTGTTGGAGGCAATCTTAAAACTAGGGAGCTTGTTTTCAGATGATATCGAATGGCCATCGGAGGAAGACTTTCCTATAGCAGTCGAGGCGAGGACTATTATCGCTGAGCTGCTGGCTCGAAATCCCAGGGATCGTCTGGGCACTGGTGGCACTCATCAAGTTAAGGTAATGCTTTTCTTTTTATTTATGACTAGCTGGTGCCCGCGACTTCGCACGGAATTTGAAAAGCGTTGCCTCAGTGGGTTCGATTCCCGGACAGAGCAAAATTTTATAGGGTTTTTCTGAGAGAAAGTAGGTAGTAAAATATTATGAAAATCTCTCCAGCCGTTATAAACATTACCCGGAACAAACAGACAGACAGACAAAAAAAAAACTGTTTTTTAGGCATAGGTATCGTGCAAATAACCGTGTGAGCATAAGAAAAAACCCATTGTTTTGTCATTACAAACAGACACTTTAATTTTATTTACTTGTATAGATTACCCGAATATTAGTGGTGACCCCACTATGCACGTCTAGTAAATAGTTGACTTCTTATATGGTCAAAAACTTCTTACATAATGGGGATTGACAATGTGGTGGAACGAGTGTTACATCCCTCCATAACAAAGAAGAGACCCTCCTACCGGGTGAGGTATCATGCCTGGTTCACCATAGCTCAATGTAAGATCATGTTATTCCGTAGTTAAGTTTGACTTCAGAAGATGACATTTATATATGTTTTTAATTGTGTGTGGAAATAGCCACAATAATAATATTTTTTTCTAGAACGTATTACGCAACTCTAAGTAAATTGATAAATTGAATGACAGTTTCGAAATGAGTGCGGTTATCACGTTTTGAAACATGAAATGCATAATTATCAAGTAATGCTTGTTAAATATAAAGGGTTGTATTCAAGTGTTTAATATTTTAATAATAATATTTTCGGACATCTGGCACACAACCATCTAGTTTCAAAATAATAGTACTATGAAAGCTAGATTGACTGATAGAATACTTATATACTTTTTTTTGTAAACACATACATATTATTTATATTATATCTATTTATCAATCATTAATTCACTAGTTTCAAGCCATTTAACAAGGTTCGCCGTATACCAACGTCGATATCTAAAACAGTAGAGTTTATATTATTATTCTGATCCTGTACTCCATTGTTTAATAAAACTTAAGGATATAAATTAGAGAAACTATTTTATTTAATAGGAGCACATATATTTCTGCGGTTTGGACTGGAACAACCTTCTACGGCGTAAGGCTGAGTTCATACCGCAGTTGGAGAACGATGAGGACACCAGTTATTTCGACAGTGAGTATTTAGCATAAATTATGGCAAATTAAAAAAGAGTCGATTATAACAGACAACTACCATAGTTAACCTAACCTAACCTGTGACTTCATAACCTACTGTTACCTAAGAATTTTTTTTTTTCACTTACATATTTAAACTCCGTGAAAACTGTAAAAAATTTATTTTTTACATGATTCAACTTTCATATTGTCAGTTTACTCTAGAGAAAATTATTGTAAGAAATTGTATAGAATTCACTAAAATTAACATTCATTTACATGATTTTATTACATAAACATACATATAAGTGTTTCGCCCAACATAGGTCGTTATAAATGGTAAATATTTTCGCCTAGCTCGCTGCGACCGTTACAACCACAGTGAAGTGGACACGGACGAGGCCGCCGAGCCCCAGGATCCGGCCGAGGAGGCGGGGGTCTTCGCCGCCTTCTCCAGCACCTCGCCCCAGTGGCGCCGCCACTACAACCACTCCTGTGTGGAACATGATTCTAGGGTAAGAGAGATTTAACCAACAAAAGCTATACATGAAGAATTCTATTTGTAAGGCCATTTACATGTAAGAGTCTGAGTAGAAATTAATAAATTATGCGGCAAATGAAAATTAAATCATTGATTTTAATGAAACTTGTTTAATTGTAGGTATTATTGAATAAGGTGTTTTAGGATGTATATCGTCAGTGTAAATGTAAACCTTATTTGTGTAAATTGATAAGTTTTTTAGAAAAGATAAAAACTGTTGTACAAAGGAGGTTACAATGTTCTTTATTTTTTTACTGATTTTATCGGAATATTAATTTGTTAGTAAAAAGAAACTAAATTAAAATGCATTTTCAATTTATAAACTGAATATTTTGCATAAAAAATACAGAAAAATAATTGTTACAAGGTGATACATCTGGAACGATTATGTGTGAGGATTGTAAGGAAGTTCAATAAAAAAACATGAAAGACGTGATAAATTGAGTATATATATATATAATGTTAATGAAATGTATAATTTGTATTCAGAGCACAGACAGTTGGCCGGGTACACCAGACAGTGCTGGACCCCCGACTACTCCTACGGCACCTCTGCATCATCATCCTAAATGTCCGGTGAGTTTTAATAGTTCATTTAATAATTGAAAACTTCTTTTGATCTTACTTAAGACTGAAAATAAATCGATATATAATTTAATGGGTAAATTATATATAAAAGAAAAGCAAAAGTTCAATATTTATTCAATATTTTTAAAATTTTTGAAAACAATGTATTTTTCTTGTCGGTTAGATGATGGGTGGCAGCGTGTCAACCGCGGAGTCGTCTCAGACGGACAGCGACGACGTGTCGCCGGCGGCCCGCCGCCGCGCCGCGCTCCGCCCTGCGCACGCGCACGTCCCGCACGTGGTGCACGCGCCTCACGCGGTGCACGCGCCGCACGCGCCGCACGCGGTGCACGCGCCGCACGCCACGCACGCGGCGCTGGCCGCGCACCCCATGTCTCACCACGCGTCGCTGCACGCGCACCCCCTCCCGCACACTCTACTTGCGCACCAGCACGCCACGAGCTTCGCCGTTGTGCCGAGAATGTATGTGTAATGTAATTTTTTTTCCTTAAAAAGACAACTTCCGCACTAGGAATATATCCTGTATAGCGGAGGACTTTACAAACATACATAAAACGATCACAAAGAACACCCAGAATCAGAACAACAATTTGTGGATCACACAACGATACTTTGTGTCGTTGCAGTTGTATCGTAAGAATGTTGTGGGTTTGATCCCCATCAAACCCACAACATTCTTACGATACAACTGCTATTGTGCATCGTCATCAATACCATCTTCCTACCTTTTGATCAATTTTATGCAAAATCGACGCCATGTGTAACATTGCAAAAGATTTTGGACCTTATGAATAAAATCACTTCCAGACGACACTAAGCAAGGGTATTTTGAGGTACAGAAAATCTCGAATAGAAAGTACAGTAATATTTTGAGGTACAGAAAATCTCGAATAGAAAGTACAGTAACTGCAGTAAACCGAAAAGGTTGTCTCGATATAACCAACTTTTTAACCTTAATCTACTGGTATTGGCTTGTCAAATGAACAATAATCTATCGTTTTATATCCCATTGGTATATCCCAAACTGCACGACTTGACTGCACGGATGGCGTAGTGGTTTAAGCGGTCGCCACGCTGCTTCCTACTACGTCGAGTGTTGTGGGTTCAAACCCCACACGGGACGACACTTTGTGTGATCCACAAATTGTTGTTCTGAGTCTGGGTGTTCTTTGTGTTCGTTTCATGTATGTTTGTAAAGTACCCCGCGACACAGGGTGTATTCCTAATGCGGGAGTTGTCTTTTTAAGGAAAAAAAAAAAAAAAAAAAAACTTAAAAAGTCTATAAATCTTCTAATGTTTTAACAGATCGGATATATCAAAGAAGGACGAGCGGAGCGCAAGCCTAGACAAACCGGATAAGGCGGATAGGCCAGACAGACCTGAGAAGAGTCGTCCTACGGCCATCGTCACAAAATCGATGCGCCGCTCCGCCAGTACTTCAGGCCTGTCGCTGGTCATACATCCAGGTACAGACTCTTTCATTTTGAAAATGGATGAGCAGTTTTCCAACCTTTCTTCATTTACCTTTTTTGATGTGAAACATCTAATGTCAGATCGGATGCTGGCGTGGTGACGCGTCGCCACCCTATGTTAAAATATATGTAAATAATAATATATAATTATTGTATGTATGTGTATTATTACCTTACACAAGCTATGCTTTGATATTCATTATTTGTACAAAATATTTTTTTTTACATCCATATTTTGTTTTTTTAAATTCATACTCTAATAATTTTGTCTAGGTAAACAAGATCCAGAAAAGGGCAGATTTTAATAAATACACCTTTTTTCCCAAAGCGTATAATTCCTCCACTAGAGGGCACTTTTTCGACGAAATGAAAGTAAATCTAAACTTATATTACAATCGTAATGACCATAAAAAATCTGCTCCTTACACAGTTGAGTGTGAACGAAATTATATCGCGATCTAACTCAACACTTACGCCCTCTATCGAGCGCAGCGACAACAGGTATAGTTCCGTTCACAGCCAACTTATTACAATTTATCATTCTAACTTAGCTTATATTGTTTACAATCGGACACTAGGTACATTACAGTTCCTTTCGAATAAAGACTTAAAGGCATCTTTTAGAAATCTTATGGAATGTTATAGAAATGTTTCTTCTGGTAAATGGTGATAGAAAAGTTAAAATGTGTGCAAAATATTACACACCTGGATAAACGATTTTACTGCCTCGGTGGTACAGGGGTAGCGTATGCGGCTGCTGTACTGAGGGTTCGATTCCCGGATCGGACCAAATGGTTGTATGATCTGCAAATATTTGTTTCGGAGTTTAGGTATTGCCTATGTATACTAGTCCGTGTGGTGACGGATTAAGAATACAAATTGTCACCACCCCAATTCATCCCGTGGGTGTCGTAAGAGCCGACTAAGGGAGCAAACTAAGCAGGACAACAGCATTGCAAAGAGAAGGAAAACTTGAAACAAACCCTATACCAACCCGTCTGGCCAGCGTGGTATAGTAGGCCAAAACCTCCTTTCTAAGGAGAGGCCTATGTCCAGCAGTGGACTAGTATAGGCTGTTGATGATGATGATGATGATATGTATACTATGTATGTATTAGAAAAAATGTATATAAGTATTCTAACAGTCAATCTAGCTTTCATAGTACAAGCTCTGCTTAGTTTGAAACTAGATGGCGTTGTGTGTCAGTTGTCTGAAATATTTATTCATTTAATTTATAATGATGTCGTGTTACTATTTTTTTCCAGCAGACGACAGTACGTGGAGTGTGGGAGCCGGTTCACCGTGCGCTGGCAACACATCATCTACCAACTCATCTCGTGACTCCTCGCCCTGCAGGGATCCACCGTCACCGTTCGCTCTACCCAACCACTCGTGAGTATTAATATAAAATAATAATAATAATCAATAGCATTAATTCTATTATTAGTTTGTGTAATCATAGTTTTTTCTTAAACGAACGTAGAACTGAAAAAGTCTTGACTTCAGCTCAGCAACTTCTTTAAAAAAAAAAAAAAAAAAAAGACAACTCCCGCAGTAGGAATACATTCCTGTGTCACGGGGGACTTTACAAACATATATGAAACGGACACAAAGAACACCCAGTTTCAGAACAACGATTTGTGGATCACACAAAGTGTCGTTCCATGTGGGGTTTGAACCCACAACACTCGGCGCAGTACCGCTTAGTAGTAGTCGGCGACCGCTTAAACCACTACGCCATCCGTGCAGTCGACTTGACCGCAGTGATACCAAAAACTTTCCCACTGTTACTTTCATTCATTCATAATTTATTTATTTAATGTCTGTGTACTTGCCTATAATTGTGTAATATAACTTATCATTTGAGAGAAAGCCTTTGACTCGATCGAGATCTGGTCTGTTCTGGAGTCCCTGCAGCGTTGCCAAGTAGATTGGCGATACATCAAAGTGATGAGATGTCTCTACGAAGCCGCCACCATGTCCGTCCAAGTACAGAATCAGCAAACAAGGCCCGTACCATTGCATCGAGGAGTGAGACAAGGGGACGTTATTTCCCCGAAATTGTTCACAAATGCAATGGAGGACATGTTCAAGACGCTGCACTGGAAAGGGCGTGGCATCAATATCAATGGCGAATACATCTCTCACTTGCGATTTGCAGATGACATCGTCATCATGGCAGAGACGTTGCAGGACCTACAGCAAATGCTGAATGACTTAGCTGACACTTCTGTACGCATCGGCCTACGGATGAATTTGGATAAAACCAAGGTCATGTTCAACGAACATGTACTACCGGAACCGATTGCGGTACACGGTGCCGTTCTCGAAGTTGTTCAAAATTATGTGTACCTCGGGCAGACATTGCAGTTAGGTAGAAACAACTTCGAGGACGAGGTGAACAGAAGAATTCGGTTGGGTTGGGCAGCGTTTGGGAAGCTACGTCGAGTCTTCTCATCGTCGATCCCACAGTGCCTTAAGACGAAAGTCTTTAATGAGTGCGTCCTACCCGTCATGACATACGGAGCTGAAACGTGGACACTTACGGTTCGGCTGGTCCACAAGTTCAAAGTCGCTCAACGTGCTATGGAAAGGGCTATGCTCGGCGTTTCTCTAAGGGATCGCATCAGAAATGAGGTGATCCGGCAGAGAACTAAGGTCACCGACATAGCGTACCGGATCAGCAAGTTGAAGTGGCAGTGGGCTGGCCATATTAGCCGCAGAACCGATAACCGTTGGGGAAAACGAGTTCTTGAGTGGAGACCGCGTCTCGGCAAACGTAGTGTAGGACGCCCACACGCCAGGTGGAGTGACGATTTGCGCAAGATGGCTGGCAGGAGCTGGATGCGAGAAGCCCAAAATCGATCTAAGTGGCGTGCAATGGGAGAGGCCTATGTCCAGCAGTGGACTGCGATAGGCTGATGATGAACTTATCATTTTCTCCATTCGCAGACTGATACAATCGTCCAAGCCACCGATCGTGGTGCGGCGAGGACCTCGTGGTTTTGGCTTCACCATACACACAGTGCGAGTATACTATGGGGATACAGACTATTACACCATGCATCATCTTGTCTCGGTAAGTACTACTCACTTCTCTTCTTTTTTCATAGTCTTTTCTCTCTATTTCTTTTTGAAACTAATGAAAATATAAAGATTTATAAAGCGTTTCTTCGTCAAGCATTTCATAACTTGTTTTTATTCAAGAATCTATATATTACGCATACACAGACACGCACACGCGCAACCACACGTATATATCAAACAATAGAACTTGTTAGCGTTTACTCATTTACACACACTCATGTACGCTTCTGACATGTTGTCAGATTGGATGGACATGGAGATTTGTACTACAGCTTCAGCTGAGTTAACGCTAACTTTCTTGTCAACTTGTCAACTGTAAATTGTAAAACATGTTGTATTTTGTGGAGATGAAATAAACATTTTTATTTATTATTTATAAATAAATATCTGGCACGTTTTTTTTATAGTCGCTGGTTTTGATCCGGCTCGAAGGACCAAAATCTTTGGTCCTTCGAGCCGATCCGATCAATCCATCGGATGGATGTGCGATGTAAAACCTTTCACATTTTAATTGCTTTATTGATAAATTATTGAAATAACAGAGAGTACCATATTATAAGACTGTGCTAACAGGTTGACGATTTTATTTGTGTTAATGTAAATGCTATAATTATTACGGAAAAGACGCGGCACCGCCTAGTTGGTGCTAGCGAATGCAGAAAACATTTATGATGTTTTACGGGTTTGCTCGTATACAAATATTATAATTTTATAAACATTAGAGTATAATTGTATACTACAGTATAAATAATTGACTATTGTTTTAACCCCACTTACTACGTTATAAAAGGCAATTATCTTGCCGTCAACCGGAAACATAATTTCTAAACAAACACATATACATCTGAATACATGCATATTATAGATAAATTACACCAAGATACAGTACAAATGTACTTATCACACAATATTAGTTTTGGATGGGCATCGAACCCACGACTTCTGACTAATCACTATCTAACCACTATACCAAAAGGCCCGTCGATAATAATCAATTTCATTTAGAAATTCGGAATACGTAATTATGTATGTAAAAACTGCTAAACACAAAGTTTTTAATCAATATTATTATGAGTATACAAATAATGTGAGACCGAACTGTGTGCTACCAGGCGGTGAACGAGCAGGGCGCAGCCTGGGCGGCGGGGCTCCGCGCCGGGGATCTCATCACGCAGCTCAACGGGGAGTCCGTACAAGGGCTCTTGCACACACAGGTATGAACATTCAAAATGCAAGGATAGTTTATGACGCTTCATTACTTTGGACCTGACTTGATAAAACCAGGATAAAGTTAAAATAAATTCTTTGGCAGTTCTCATGCATGTAATATTATAAGATTTATTAATTTTTATTCTTAATGCACAAATTAAAACTCAATTGTACAATGGCGATCTTAATGCCACAGGCATTTTCTCCCAGTCAACCTTTGGGTAGTGGGGGAATGTCTGAGTAGGTGCAGGAGAAGATTTAATATTATTAGATCCATTATTGATTTCAATTTTGGTACAATCAGGTGACATGTATGCTTTAATACTTTATTGTAAGCTTTTTTACATTTTCACAATAATTAAACGATAAACTGTACCCACAGTAGTGCGTAGTAGTAGTTCAAGGCTATAACGAACAGTCTGCCAAACTATACAACAAAACAGTTGTGACAAAACTCAATCTCTTGGACTGAAGGGGTACTCCACTATTAACTCCCTGGCTGAATTACCAGAGGGCCTAGTACGAGTTTATTCTACAATAACTCGTTCTCGACAGCGAGCGCGTTTGGCGATCGAAGTGAAGAGTTCAGTGCGAGCCAATCTCAATGACGAAAACGGTCACCGTGACGAGGACTTGATGGGAAATAAGCTCACACAGTGCTCTCAGATCAGTTCCACTGGCAAACTATAGTATTGTAATCCAAACTACATTCAAAATTTCGTTTCGATATGACAATTACAAATAGGTTGAAATTGAATTTTAATATTTGTTTACATCGTGACAAGGAAGCCAAGTCATTTTCATCTCATTTATAGGTGTTGAGACTGTTGCTAGCAGCCCCCCACGCCACGTTGCGGGCTACTCCATTGGAACAGACAACAATACAGGTAAATATTAATATTTATTCGAAATAATATCGAGGGTGTTTGAATATAGAGGTATTGTTTTACTTCAACTACAAAATTTGAATATTTATAACCCTGAAGAAATATAAGTGTGAATGAGTGTTACAGATTTAAAAAAAAACATAAGTTGCTGGTTTTTTATTCGGCTCGAAGGACCAAAATGTGTGGTGTAATATTTTTTTACCTTTACCTTTACCATTGAATTGTTCTATTGATAAATGATTGGAATGACAGAGAGTATCGAATTATAATATCGTTAATAGATTGACGATTTTATTGGTGGTAGTTGTAAATGATACAATTATTATGAAGAAATTTTTTCGTCAAATTAGAAAAAGTAAAATTAGAAAGATTTTCGTCAAATTTTGTGTGCATATCGGGTAGGTCTGAGAATCGGCCAACATGTATTTTTCATACCCCTAATTTTTTTTATATTTTTGGCAATTTTTTTTGAAATAATGTATAAGGCAAAACAACGTTTGTCGGGTCAGTTAGTATTATTTATGATATTGTACAGGTTTGCAATACAATACATTAATATTAAACTACAGAGCAAATAATAAACTCATTTTAACTAAGAGAAAAGTAAATGGACGAAAAATCTAAAAAAATTAGACAACCATGTAAATGTTATTATATTTGATTTCTCGTGAGGAACTTCAACACTTTTTACGATCTAAGTCTTAAGTCTTATACCAATAAAGAGTCAGGAGACTCTTTATTGGTATATATTAAAGAGTCAGGTCAGTGGATGAAGTGGTGATAGTGTAAGCTATGTGTTGTGTGCAGGCGGGAGGCAGGCGGCGCGCGTGGAGCGGTCGGCGCGCCACGGCCCCCCCCCGGCCCCGGCCCCGGCGCCGCTGCTCGCTGTTCCGCCGCATCTCCACCAAGCGCGCCTCGCAGGAGATGCACCAGGTACGGCCCGAGCCCCGCCCCGCCTCTCTCAAGGCCAACTTATTTATTCATCTCCATAAACGCTCTTCAGAAACTGATCATTGTCTTCTCTTAAGGAAAGATCACCTACCACGATAGATTACACCGATGGCACATAGAAGAACCTGCACCATCGTTGCAGGTCCATCTATGCACCGTCGGTTCTAATATCGACCAACACACTGCTCTAAGTAGAAGTTACACTGTTACGAGTTCTTTTCTCGCATATGACAAAAATTAATGTAAATTATTTACAAAAAAA